CACCTCAGGATCTCTGGTACAGGAGACCCCATGTGCCTTTTAACTAGCATTACATCACCCTCAGTGTTTGGGTTTGACTTTCTTATCACACTTTCCACTATTTTGATAGGATTAGAGCTGACTTGATCAAAGGATTTTACCAGAACAGGGGCTAAGAAGCTTGCTGTCCATCCGCCTGATCCACAGTCTGCTGGCCCCAAAATAAACTCAAGTCTATTTTATTTACATGGAGCATCACGTTGCCTTTATTGGCACAATGAATGACTGTAAAAAATGTAATCAACTCACATCAGTTTGGGTTGAAGTTCATGTAATCTTTAATGCTTCCTAAATATGTTAATCTACATGAATCAAAGCCATATGATTTTTTTTCTTTTACTTTTTAATTGTTATTTCATTGTTAAAAATCAAAGATTTTTTGGTTTTATTTTTGATAGAACTGTCTTTTTTTCTATTACAGAAATCATACCATGTGAAAGGAATATGACAAAGTGTGGCAATGGGTGCCTGTCAACAGGAAATGGTGCTGTCTGTGTTTGCCCTGAGGGATCTATACTACAGGAGGATGGACAAACATGTACTGGTACGGCCAGTATTACACCACTTTGCCCCATGTTCCAATACTAAAATCTACCTTTTATTAAAAAATTATATAAATACACTTAGTAAAAAAAATGTAGCGTTCATATTATTCTCATTTACAACACTAACCTTTTAGTATATGGCTAACATATAGAGTATACACATACTGGATTCAGTTTCCCATTACGTTTACATTTTAACTATAGCATCATAGTAAAAGAAAAGGAACAATAGCATGAATCTATCAACTGACTGAATGACAGTTTAATGGAACATATTGGTTGCTCATTTCCAAAAAACTAAGCAGCAGTCCCTACTTTGTGATTTGGAGCCGAGGCTGTATAAATATTTCATGAATAAGAGTTGAGTTGATGTGGTCAAACTGAGGATAGATGGATCAAAGAGATGAATGTGCAACAGTGTAGCAACTGTTGTAATACTTTCAGTTTATTGTGGGCCAATATCTTGCATCAGTTTAGAATATAATAATTAAAATGATTAACTTTTTTATGCATACGATTTATTTTGCAATGGATAAACTGGATTACAGTGAAATCTGACGCCAGAACCAGTGTTGACACGACATAATTTTGTGCTAAGAGTAAATACTGCAACTAAGCAAAGGTCCGTTGAATTTTAACAAATTCATAAGCTTAGCTGTGCCCACATTGTTTTTCATGGTTGCAGGCTGTTCATCTGCAGATAGAGGAGGGTGCAGTCAGCTCTGCAACCCTGTCACCCCTGTAAGCTGGGAGTGTGGCTGTCTGCCTGGCTACCAGCTCCACCAAGATGGCAAGCACTGCATTGCAACCGGTGAGTCAAACAATGGCATAGCAGATAGCTGAGCTACATGTGCCCACAAAGACAC